GGGAGGCGATGGCGGTACCGATGTAGCTGCTGCGGCCCGCAGCTCATTGACCTGTTGGGTCAGGAGGAGGATCTGCTCTTCCCGCGGATCCACCTGGCGTTGGTGCCGTGGTGGAGATTCCACCTGCCGCCTTGGCGGTGATAGCCTTGGCTGGTGCAGGGGCTGTTGTTATTGTTGGCGCAATGGTGAAGCGCGTTGTTGCCTTGGGGGAGAAGGCATCTGCTGGTGGCGTGGGGGGGGGTGAATCTGGGGGAATGATTGCCCCCTAGCTTCTCCAAAGCGGGTACATGCTCTGAAGTCCTTCTCCCAGACTGTTGCTGCTGCTGTTGTCGGGGGATGTTGAGAACTGGAGAATTTGCCCTTTTAATCCCCCGTATGTTGACAGACAGGCGCTGATTCGCCTTGGATCTGTCCCCCAATCTGGAGAAGATGGGACGCCTTCCCACCTCAATCCACGGATTGGGGTTGTCATTCTGTTGCAGGGAGGGGGACTGCGAGGAGTCCTCAGTAGTGACAACATAAACACCCTCATCATTGGCACAGCCGTAATCAACACGGTGTGCAGTGTACCTGGACGGTAGCATGGGAGGTGGCGGTGGCGCCATTCTCTGTGTCGCCGCCGCGGGATGAGAAGTTCTCGTCTGCTGGGCGAGAGGCACATCGTTCACAGGTGCTGCGGGAGCCACCTGACGGACATGGGGAGAGTTGATCCCCGGAGTCGCCCTCTAGCGAGGGGGAGATTGGTAGACCATCTGTGCTGGTCTCTCCACCACCAGAGGGGCATCAATAGAGCTTACTCTCAGAGACCGGGGTCTCGAGTTCGCCGGTGAGATAGGCCTGGTGGCCTGGGGAGCCACAGTAGCTGCAGGCCGAGATTGCAGCGTGGGGAGTACCTGCTGCAATCCGGTGATGAGGGCACCAACCGCCGCAGAGGGATCCACCATCAGAAGATTCTGGAATTGCGGGATTACCTGTGCGGGCAGCATTGCCGCTGCATCACGGTTGAGTGAGATCTGCTGGCGCAGATCTGGGGAAGCACGCTGAATCTGATTGCGTAGATCCGCAGAAGTTCCAGCAACTTGTTTTTCCCCAGCGGCCCTCCTGTCGCCAGAAGTAGCAGTTGCTTCCAGCGAGGGCTCCGTCTGTGCAACAGCGGCAACAACACGTCAACTTCTCAGGGTTCTCTTTCCATCCATTGTTGCAGAAAAGTTTGTTATAGCTCTGGAGAAAATCAAGGGGATTTGACTTGTTCATAGTTCGACTCTCAACGAGAGTACCAAAAATGATGGATCATCGGACCAGGGTGGGCGAAATCGACTGACGTGCACTCGTCGTTAGGTGCACTCAAAATAAATAATCAATACAACACTAATACGTAGTATAGTGTAGTAAGGTTCGTATCCACAGGGAAAGGAATACTTTTCTTTTATAATAGTAGTAACAAAAAGGGGGGTTTAGATTTGTTTGTTTTAACAACACTAAGATAAACAACCTATATGAGTTTAATGCAATGAGATGGGGACTTGGTCTTGCTTTTATCCACTTAATGAAATGTTCGTCGATCCCGGTTATATCTTTAACTATCTTCCTCTCGAATACTCAATCGAGGAGTATATCCAGTTCATCGAGGGTAGTTATTAATAACGAGATGCGTTCATTAATAAAACTTACTATCGAGTCAATATAGAACAAGCGCCGTATATTAACTTGATAGTAGCAATAAACTTAAGATGAAAACGATTGAGATTGATAACCTCAACACAAGCGGTTTATTGGTTTAATCAATATAATTAATTCCCCTTGGCATATTAACCATGAGATGCATGCATTAATATTCCAAGTTTACTACCGTTGAAAGAACCGGATTAATAACAAGCGTATTAACCGATTGATTCTAGTAATAATTAATATGAGAAACAATACTAGTTGATACTTTAAGTAATGTTTAAGATATTAACATGAAATATGAATAGGAATTAATCAATACTCAAGGAAGAATATTAAAATATATGAATCCTACTATGATTAATATCAAGATGTTAACTAATTGTCATCTTAGCAACACTCCCCAATATAATCATAGAGGAAGAAATAGCTATTACTATGATCAATGTAAAGATGTTAACTAATTGTCATCTTAGTAACACTCCCCAACTTTGATATAGAGATAGTATTTTGAAAGAAAGAATTAATATTCAAGGAAGAAGATTAAAGAAAATAACTCACAACTTACAAATTCATTAAGCTTCAAAGTAGCAAAACCAAGATGGAAGAGTTTAGCTCCTCATTTGGAGACTAAACATGATGAAAAATATAAAGAAAGAGCTATTCTATACTGAGCTTAGATGTACAAGGGATTGGCTATCTTTTTGTGAAGGAAAGGAGGTGTATTTATAGGTTTTTGGGATGAGATTCGGGTACTCGATCGGGTATATACATGGTACCCGATCGAGTATGTGTGTAACATCCGATCCGAGGCATACTCGACCGGTTTCAGGCTATTTTCTAAGTGTATACCCGATCGAGTATATATGAATACCCGGTCGAGTATGCTTAGAAAGTGATATTCGGGCTATACTCGACCGATCTTCGTTTGCAATTTAAAGGCATACCCGATCGAGTATATATGAATACCCGGTCGAGTATGCTTAGAAAGTGGTATTCGGGCTATACTCGACCGATCTTCGTTTGCAATTTAAAGGCATACCCGATCGGGTATGTCGGTCTACCCGATCGGGTATAGACATAGAATCGTGGCCAAAATCTTCCCTGCATGTTCCTTTGTCTTCGGATCTGATCCGATTTGAAGTTCCAACCTAATACCCGATCGAGTATAGCTAATACTCGACCGAGTATAGACCAAAATTCAGGATCTTCTTTTGTCTTTGAACTTTTGCACCTTCTCTTCACTTTTTGGGTTCACCAACTGTACTTTGGGTGACCAAAACCTGCTTAAGCTCAGAATATGTCTAATCTAACCTATTTACAAGATTTTAACAATCTAATCTATTACACCAAAAGTTTGTAATTTCCAAAGTAAAAGTCAAGCAAAACTAATTAAAAACATAAACATAGAAATGGAAATTACGAACGTATCATCGACCAAGAATAAGAAATAAGGGAGATGATGAACTAATCGGAAAGTGCAGATAGTAGTATAACAGTATAAATTTCAGAATGCGATCAATTAAGCATCCCTTTTCACAAGTTGGAAGGTGATATTTATACTAAGAGGTAAAAGGCAATACTTGGTGCCCAAGTAAAAAGATGCTAGTCTAATAGGAGAGGGACACGTGTAAAGCTACTCTAACAAACTAACAACCTAATTCGATGGGGAGCAGCCACATGTAAAGTTGATTGGAGAGAGAGTCTTTAATAGCTGGCTGATTGGAGTTGGCTTCTAAAAGAATTGCTGCCACGATACCCGTGTGGCTGGATGCGGGTAACTGAGAATATTCTCTGGTGTTGATGATGACGTGGCGGCACCTCCTAGTGGGATAAATCCTTGCGGATTCCGCCTAAGTCCATGATGCTTCATCCAGACCTCGGGGTTTGCTGAGGTCGGTACCTGGGAGCTCAGAAGTTCGAGCTCGTGATGGGAGGAATCGCCTCTCAGGTGGTCGACTACCTGATGCTTGACTGTCGTTGACCAACTGTTTGACTTTCAGGGCCAGACCTGGTCCCGACCTCGGATGCATCGAGGTCGGGCTCATAAGTTGCCGAGTTCGGTTGATCCCTGAACCTGATGTCTTCCCGACCTCGAGGTCGGGGTCGGGGTCGGATGACTTCGTTATTCGCCGAGTTCGGATGCCCCCTGAGCTTGTTGTTTTCCCGACCTCGGCAGTCGGGGGTCGGGGTCAATCCTGGATGTGAACTTGGTATTTTTTGTACCCTTGATGGACCCGCAATGTTTTCTACCGGCGATTATGATACCCCTGGGGTGTGTGGGAATATACTCCATCAGTGACAAATTTTATGTGTCCTTTGTGATGTTATTGGAACGCAACTATCAACTATGGATCAAAAAATACTTGTACTTTTTATAGAAATAATGTGAAAATCTAAAGGGGCTTTTACCTGAATATTACTAATAAATGGACAATTGACAAAAAAAGTAACATTTCTCTTATATTTTCAAAAATGTGACTAATATATAATAAGCTACAGTGACGCATTATAGTGACACACTACAATGACATAGACATAGTGACATAGACATAGTGGCTTAAACATGAATCCTCCCACCGGTAACTGTCGCTACCCGGAAACTCCTGCCGGCCAGAGACCACCGTCGGCCACAATGACATCACCACAATGGCACCATCATAGTAACGCCACCATAGTGACTCCGCCACAGTGACGCTGCCACAATGATGCCGCCGCCACCTAGTGACATTAAATTTTCTGGTGACAGCCACAGTGACACACCGACTCCAGTCATAGTGACAACATCCAGCCTAGTGGCCATCGTCGTCAGCGGCACCACCCCGTACCAGCACGTACCCTCCCTGTCCCTCCCCCATCGTCACTGTTCCCCTGCCACCGCCATCGTCGAACACAGATGAAACAAATAATGCCGCCACCACTGCTATTATTAAACCAACAACTGCGACGACTAAGGCTACATGGATGAAGACGATGGCGGTTGACTCTCATTTACCTCCCCATTGATCGTCGGAGTAGAGCAACGGGCAACAACAATCGTCGGTGTAGAGCAACGGGGGACGAAGACCGTCGGAGGAGCTTGCGGTTGTGAGTTCGATGATGGACGAGAGATGAAGGAGACATCGAGGTTGCTCCTGTAGTTTTCGATTGGGAGGAGAGAAGGATCGTTCACGAGAGATGAAGGAGGCTGCTCATGTAGATCGCGATTGTGAGGAGAGAACGATTCGCGTAGATCTCAATTGGGAGCAGATAAAGTGCAGTCACTTTTTGGTAAAATTTCGAAGTAGTCATATTTTGGTCTATTAAAACCTTAGCTTATAAGCAATTTTGTGTCATTCTTTTAGATCAAAATCAAAAATGTTTATATAGGAGTAATATGACATCAACATTACGGTATTAATATTTGGTAATAATTTATCACACTAATATGCATCAAAATTAGTATGATACTCCTATTTTAAACTTTGACATTTTCTACTCCTAGTTCTTGAAATTTCCCTATTTCACAGTAATAGCATAGAGAGGAAAATAACAAAGAATGAGAGAGCAATAGAATATGTGGTGCCTCGGGGACCACTGCCATAGCCAACATAGTTGAGGAGTTGAATACCGCCGTCGACCTTTTCAGCGGTCAAAATCTCGACGGGGAACTGGCAAGTTCCGGTGGAGGGATCAAAGGGCGTGAGGACGCCGAGGCCGGAGAAGTCACAGGCGCCATTGTCGAGCTCCTGGTTGTTGGACTGGTAATAGACGTTAAAGGCGTAGGAGACGTTCCAGGTGTGGTTGAGGTTGCTGCACGTGGAATGAGAGTACAACGGCGTGCAGTCTGATGTGGCACATGCAAACTGCATCTGCTCCTCCACCTTTGTGGCGTTGCTCATGTCTCCGTTGAATATGCACCACCGTGATGGCATTTTCACAATCCCTTTTGTCAAATAAAATAACACACATCAAAAAATTTAGTATGATTAATATTTTTCTTTTTATTTGCATTTATATCATGTTATTTTTATTTTTGGAAGAAAGAACTCCCAAACATTTTTAATCTTACTTCAAGAATTTTAATTATTTAAATCTTACTTACACCAATTTCTTTTTTATCGAAAAAACATCTCTACAACTTCAAGAATCAAGATCAAATTAAATGCATGAAGAGTCTTTAAGCTAAGTAGGAGTCTCCAACGTACTACGTACCTTTGGCCGTGGATGGGTAGATGTCGCGTCCTTGGCCGGAGAAGTCAATCTTGAACTTGGGCACTCCGTCGAAATTGTAAATTCCCCGGTGGCGCCGATAAGCCCCCAACAAAAGCGGGAATTTGTTCTCATCAAGCAAGGTGCCGAGGAAGACATCGATGTTCATGTTGGGCCGGCGAGGGGTGCCCTTCTTCTGCACGATGTGCTTCAGAAAGCCGCGGTGGAACCTCTCCGCGTTCTCCGGGGTGGCGTATTGGCCGCCGTCGGTGGGCCAGCCGATCTCCCCGACAACGATCTCCATGTCGGGGAACCCGGCCTTCTCGACGGCGACGACGAGGGCGTCGAACAAGAACTCGAAGATGTTGGTGTAGGTGTATGGGCCGTCGACGACGGAGAAGGAGGAGTTGTTGTCCATGAAGGCGAACTCGAGGGGCCAGTTGTTGTCGACGAGAGAGGTGAGGGGGTAGAGGTTGTACATGTAAAAGGAGTTGTGGGTTCTGTTGTACAGGCTCAGGTATTCGAGCATCTTGGTCTTGTACTCGTCCCGGAAGTCGGATTCCGACGGCTTTTTGACGATTTTCAAGATGTCCGGGGATTGTATGGTTGTTGTCCTAACGTGGGACAGGCCGTGGTTTTGTAGGCTGGCCACTGCTTCCTTAAATACGTCTGTTGCATTGGTTATCGGTATTCTGCCTCCCGCCGACATATACGGTTCTTCCAGAATCACCAGCGTCCTATATATACATACATTCATATATGTCATTCATACATTTCTATATTGCGTATATTGATACAGCCATTCAATTTCATCCATACTTAGACCATCTACATACTCTAATAATCTGTTTTTTCTCTCTGCAATAATCTCTATTACATATATTTTTCAAATAATCTTAAAATAATCCATATTCATATTTTGATCCCAGATTATTGTAGCAAATAATCTCATTAAATAATCTATGACATTCAATGATAATTTTCTAAAAAAACTGCCATGTCACCAATTTAATCTCATAATAATCCTCCCAATGATGATGTCCTAATAAAAGAATGTATGTTACATACGGAGTAATTCTGGTTAATTTGGTAATACTCTGTACTAAAATTAGAGGCCATTTGGTAATACTTTGTACTAAAATTGATTGAATTGGTTAATTCTGGTGAAATTTTCGAAATTCTGACTAGCTCAATCAACTAATTTTGGTGATTTATAAAAAAATTATATTTAAAATGTTTTTTATTGAATAAAATAAAGAAAAATTATACTCCGTATGAAAAAATAATTAAAATGATTTTCTACCGTATCTTCAGCCAATATATTACTTTTTGTTATTATTACACAACTCAACGCGTGAAATCAAAAAGGTATATATTTGATGAAAAAGTCGATTGATAAATCTGATAATCTGAAAAACATGATCACCAAATGAGCTCTTAATAATATCTTTCAAACACTCGGTATATATGTCACTTTTTACGTTTTTGGTTAATGACACGTAGTACGAGTAGTAAATTTTGGTCAATAGGATTATTCTAAAAAAAGGATAACACCCCATCTCAGAGGGCCCCCCACTCCGACCGGACGGTACGTTGGGATCGGAGGATGTAAATTGGACTATAATCCCAATATGAGAGATAGAGAGTGGGACTCTGTCCCTGGTACTTGCAGAGGCCTTATGCATTTTTAGCATAGTAACCATTCATCGCAATTGTCGGGATTCGAACCCGGGACCTAACACTTGTGGCACTCCCTTGCTACCAGTTGAGCTACGTCCACCGGTAATCAATAGGATTATTCTATAAATTAAAGATTGGTGAAAGCTTTCTTGGGTTTATTGTTATCAATTTCGGTTAAACCTTATTATGTTCTACCTCCTATTTCATCCTTGTCCATTTCACATTTGCACTAAATTAAATAAATTCATACATACCTAATTATCTCAATTAATGGAGTATTTGTATCTAATTTTTAGAAATGCTTCAAAATTACAAGTAGATAATGGAGTGTTTGAGCGTATGACGCTAAAAATATACTTGTTGGCTTTGAATTTTCTTAGTAGTTTTTTTAAAGGTGAGGAAGATCAGTTTTTTAGAAATTAAGTAAAACCACTTTTTTAGAAATTAACTAATTTTAAATTACCCAAAATAGGAATAAAAATGTGTGTATATTCCAAAATAGAACTATAATGTTTTTATTCCCGAAATAAGACTAATTACTGTCATGCTTTGGCAGTACCAGACTTTAAACATGACAGTATTTTCCAAACTTGGCAATAATTACTCCTATTTTGAAAATAAAAAAAAAATCAGTCCTATTTTGAAATTTTCAAACTTATTTACTTGAATTTTCCCTTTTAGTATTTGTGATCAACGTACTTGATGTTGACGCCCCTCTTAACAGGGACGACAAGAAGTTCGGCCACCCAATCATCGATGGTTCTGATATTGTTCCATTTCATCCGTCGGATGAAATCGCTTTGGATGGCGACGGTTACGCCCAAGGAGGAGCTCTGGAGGGCCTCCATGACGTTGACCGACGGAGCGGACAGTCTTATCTCAGTCAACCCGTTCTGTTGCAGCAAGTCCACCACCACCGACGGCACCAAACTCTGTGTCGCGTATCTGCCCCAATATATTCCGACGAACCCCTCCGCTCCTCTTATACCCCCTCCCACCAGCACCACTAACAATAACACCGCCGGCACCGGCACCCACGCCGGAAAACATAGCGTCCCCGCCCCGCCATTGAGTTTCCGCCGCTCCACCACCGCCATTATATTAATCTCCCCCACTACCTTAATTGGACTCCAAAAGTTTTAAGGTTGTAGGAAGATTAATTAATGGCAGCGGATCGGAAGGGAATTGATTAACCTACGACGATAACAATATGTGCTCGATCAGGTTTAATGTCTCAACGGGCGGCCGGATTTATGAATTCATGCATGCATGCATACGGCATACATGCACGACTCTTGGTTAACTACAATGGCTAATCTCTGTAATGAAAAGACGACGTTAAGATCGAGATCAATGTCTGGTCATTTGTATTGGTTGGTTGAAAATTCCTAACTTGACAAATTCTGTGTTTGTTAACGGATAACCACAGAAAAATGGGAGGAGGTTCGTGGTCACAACTCACAAAAGCAACCGATCATCTCATCATGAGGAAGGTTTTTTTGAAGGATAAAACTTACTCTATCCCAATTTGATTTGCAAAATTTTCTTTTTTGGTTGTCCCAAAATGATTTTCCACTTTATATTTTAGGTATGTAAATAAGAACAAAGTGACAAATTTACCCTTACTTTTACTTTTTCTTCATCAACTTAAAGTCATTTACTTTTAGAAAGATGGGCAAAACTGTAAAAAGCAAGCATCATTTATTGTCATTTCTTAATCTTTGTGCCGGTCAAAGTTTGCAATTCAATTCGGGACGGAGGGAGTACATTTTGACTTGGGAAATAGACATTAGTAAGACTAAAACATAGTCAATGCATCTAAATAGGACTAGCGAGAATTATATACCTAAATAGGACTTAAAATTGTATTGGATGACAAATTTACCCTTCCCTTAAAATATCTTCTGCGAGAAACGATGCCCAGCAAAAACTAAACTCCATATACATGGTAAGCCATTTGCGGCGGAGATGGCCTAGTGAGAAACCTGAGGTCTCCTAGCACACTACCTATTTCAGATTTCAATTCACCACTGCTCGTTGTGCAGGTCGCTTCCGAGTTTACCGTCGTTCGTCGTCACCGGACTGCTCACCGCTGCTAGTTGCCAGAATGGTCGCCGCTGCTCGTCGCTGGAGTGGTCGCCTGATCTTCTTCTTTGTTCTACTTCACCCCCTCTTCATTATAATATAGAGTATTGCTTAAAATCAATTATTTCTCTACATTATAACGCCCTAGAAGGGGAGTTCATCATTACAGTATCATTACACTGTATTAAAAAATCAAAATATAGAGTATTGCTTAAAATCAATGTCATTGTTTAAATAATGACACTGTAATGATGAAAATGTGAATTGCTCGTGCAATGTCATAAGAATGTCAATTACAAAGTCATAAAAATGTCAATAGAAAACAATGTTAGTGACAATGTCATAAGAATGTCAATGACAATGTCATAAGAATGTCAATGACAATGTCAAAAGAATGTCAATGACAATGTCATAAAAATGTCAATAGAAAACAAAGTCAATGACAATGTCATAAGAATGTCATAAGAATGTCAATAACAATGTCATAAAAATGTCAATAACAATGTAATAAGAATGTCAATCACTATGACAATCACTTTATTAAAATCATTGATCAGTATTAATAATTTAATATCAATATCAACAATATCAACACTTTAATGGCTTCATCAAAGGCCTATTTTCCAAGACTACAAGCACGGTCAGGGGAGTTCAAAATCTCATAAATGACGGACGGGTACTTAAAGACATCCTTCGGCTCAAATCACCGCCATACCAATTGTTAAGGGTACCATCTTAACAATTAGAGGCATTGCAACTCAAGTACCAAAAGTTCTATAAGTACAAAACTTATGCTCATGGTTTTTCAAATTCATTTTCAAAAAGAAATTTTGAAGCTTCATTATGATGTTTACGGACTAAGTCTGTGATACCATTTAAATTGTCACGCCCCGGACCTACCCGGACATGTCAACAACCCGCCGTACAGTACGAATAGTCAACCGCAGTCCGACTCATCCATACTATACAAGGCGTCTTGAATACCATTCACACATAGTACATCCATAAACAAACATAATGTAAAACATTTATTAAAGCAGCGGAAACAATTGATACAAGTGTTCAAGCCACACTTGGCATAATTAGGCATGCAAGCCCCCCAAAATAATTATTCAGAAAATATTATCCATGAGCATTATTCATATTGTTTTTCAAAACAGGAACGGGAGAAGCACGAACCAAGTCTTCTCCTCAGAAACTTCCCGAAGCAGCGGCTGGTGGTAGCAACCTTCAAGTTCTACCTGAAACTGTGAGGTGGCCTCCCCCGTGAAGGGGAGGTCAGTACTTGGAAGCATTTGACAAGTACAATGACAACTATACTAAGTATAATCAAAGTTTAAATCTCTGAGGCCCTCAAACTAGAGCATTATTACATTATAGTTAATCCGTTCATTTATTATCAATTCATCATTATTTACCACGGTCTAGAGCCCAGCTCATAATCACTGTTATCTACTACGGTCTAGAGCCCAGCTCATAATCACCGTCATCTACTACGGTCTAGAGCCCAGCTCATAATCACCGTCATCTACTACGGTCTAGAGCCCAGCTCATAATCACCGTCATCTACTACGGTCTAGAGCCCAGCTCATAATCACCGTTATCTACATCGGTCTTGAGCCCGGCTCATAATCACCGATTCCTTATAATTCAAATTCTTAGGATCTAATTCATCCATTTCTCAGCTAACACTTCCAACTAACATTTCAATGCTAGTTATTTATTTATTTCAATATAATTCTTTCTTCTTGCACAATTGGCCTTAATATCAAGTATCACTTTCATACCCTCATAGCTTCTCCTCATGGCATCAAAGTATACTATCTCAAATGATATTCATGGTTAGTACAACCATCATACACACATATTCACAACATCTAAACATACACAATTTATTCATAAATTTGTGTATCATGCATACTATACTTATAATCAATAGTAGTTTCATTTAGGCATTATTAACCATTAACAACTCATACGCATCACATTTGTATTCACTTAGGAAATCCCATGAAATTAACCCAAAGATTATAAGTAACATAGTCGGTCATCCTCACCTTAATTAAGCTTAAGCGCGTTCTATGCTTCTTGATTGAACTTTGACTAATTTCGGCGAACTTTGACCAACTCCGGTGAACTTTGACCAACTCCGGCGAACTTTGACCAACTCCGACGAAACTCCGGCGAAGCTCAAAAATACTTTAAATCAAGTTCCTAACAAGGTTTTATCATCACAAAACCCATATCAACACAAATAACCTATAAAAGGTTATTTTCCGGCAAACCGGTCGATTTGGCTTCTAAGTCCGTTTTTGGACTTAGAATCACTTTCCAACCCATTATTCCACACTTAAATCATGTAGAACAATACTAAAGGCCTTTCATATGATATAAATCTTATATTCTAGAAGAAAAACAAAGGAAAAGTTATGATAAGGTCATTACCTTAATTTTCACACTTTTTCCTAGCTCTTTCCTTCTTAAACTTCCTTCTTGAACTCCCTTGAGCTTGAGTTCGGATTTGGGCTATGGAGATGAGAAGTTTCAGAGCTTCTCCTTGCTATCCTAGGGTGCTGAATGGTGTGGGTGGAGATGGTGAGGTGAGAGGGGTGGTTTTTGTCTCATTTAGACAAATGAGTGAAGGGAGGGGGTCTACAACATGTCAAAGGTGTCTCCCCCATCCTCTCAATAGTTGTTCAGCCAATTTGACACTCATCCAGCCCTCAAGGGTTGACAATTTCGTGGGGTGGCCCCCACCCAAGTGGGAGGTCATCCTAATTTGTCCCAAAGTGTGTAATTTGTCCCGAAAGTTGTATTTTCCGGACTGTTTTTAAGTATATTTTATTTTATCGGGTCAAATAAAATATAACACTTGTTCCCAATTCTTAATGGACCTTAGAATCAATATGCATCCCTCAACTTTAATTTAGAAGTCTCCGAAATCCCTTTTCGGGCTGTTATCTGATAGATTGCCGATACTGATAATTTGGCCCCGTTTGACCAACCGGTCAACCCTATGCCATTGTCATGACTCAACTAGGATATCCACCACCATATACATATTATCTAGTCCAAGATCAATATAATATGTGGCCCCGATAATATCGGGCGGTCCCCACTCCCGATGTGGGCCCCACGTGCATATTGTAGGTCTTCACGTATCTCTATCGGTGGTTTCTCAAGGATATGAGACGGATCTCGCACGTATTTCTTGAGCATCGATACATGGAACACGTCGTGTATCTTCTCAAGTTCTGGCGTCAATTTGATACGGTAAGCCACGGCCCCTATCCTTTCAAGGATTTCAAATGGGCCAATGTATCGGGGGTTAAGTTTTCCCCTCGATATAAATCTGATGATACCTTTCCAAGGAGAAATCCTTAGAAAGACCTTATCACCGACCTCAAACTCCAATGGCCTGCGTCGTTTGTCAGCATAACTCTTTTGCCGATCTTGGGCAGCCTTGAGTCTCTCCTGAATGACCCTCACCATAGCCTTGGTGATTTCGACAAGTTCGATCCCCTCGAGCTTGGCTTCGCCCACCTCATCCCAACACAACGGGGTTCTACATTTCCTCCCATACAATGCCTCGTATGGGGGCATGCCAATACTCTCCTGATAACTGTTGTTATAGGCGAACTCGACTAGAGCCAAATGCTTGTCCCAACTCCCTTGGAACTTCAGAGCACATGCCCTAAGCATATCTTCCAGAATCTGTATCACCCTCTCGGATTGCCCATCCGTCTGTGGGTGAAAGGTTGTGCTAAACTTTAGCTTCGTACCCAAAGATGCTTGAAATTTTGGCCAAAATCGGGATGTGAAACGTGGGTCCCTATCCGAGACAATGGATATCGGAACTCCATGCAGTCTCACAATCTCCTCCGTGTATAGCTTTGCCAATCTTTCAAGAGGATAAGTAATGTTGATAGGCAAAAAGTGTGCACTCTTGGTGAGCCTATCAACCACTACCCATACTGCATCATAGTTGTTCACTGTTCGTGGTAGCCCCACCAAGAAGTCCATGGTCACGTGTTCCCACTTCCATTCTGGAATGGTAAGTGGTTGCAAAAGTCCCGCCGGGTGTTGATGCTCCGCCTTAACTTGTTGACAAGTAAGGCACCGACTCACGTACTCTGCGATGTCCCTCTTCATACCCGACCACCAGTAACTTTCCTTCAAGTTTCGGTACATTTTAGTACCTCCTGGATGCATGGCATACGCCGAAGAATGAGCCTCCTCCAGTATAGACTTT